CAATTTGCTTGGGCGGGAGATGACTGTCTGCTTGTTGTGCTTTCCTCAAGGCGAGGTACGTCCCCTTTTTCCATGGCTATTAAGTCGATAAGTGGTACACTGGCCAACACCAGCGCTGCGCAAGCAGACACTGTGCGGTAGGCAGAATCCACCCATTCGTCTTTATACTTGGGCGTACTTGTGTCTGATAGACAGCTTCTCCAGCGCGCCCGCCCAGACTGGAGCAGCATACAGCAACCGTGAGTGAACTATGCCAGATATCATTCTTCTCTTGTCTTCTCTCAGTACACCGACGTTCGGTAGCATTTTTGCGACGTTAGACGAATGTTTCCGATTTTGCGTGATTTGTAAGTATAATTATTGGCGTATGATATTTATACAACAGATGAAGGGAATTGTATGAACTTTTTAATATTTCTTGGTACCACTTGAGATAGTTCTGTAATGATTTTACAAACTGATGACTAACTTATCATATCAACTGACAAAAATAATAAAATAAACTCTTTTTCATATGATGCATAGTGTCCAGCTTTGTAAGACAACCTATAAAACGTGGTCCTCGATGAATAATACAAAATTGCTACAAAATACTGCAATTGAAATCAATAAATTACTTGACAAATTACAATGCTACATAAAATCTGTGTGCCATTAGCATTTTTAGGACTGTTGGTAAAGGTTATCCCCTATTCCTCAAGTCCACGTTGTGAGCCACACACGCTAATGTTTACAACCGTATCCTCGTCAAAACGATATCTCTTAAATTCTTGTTTGCTATGCATTTCCAAAGGATGTTCCATGTCTCTCAAATATCGTTTCGGTGTATTGATTCATTATCCATATTGATTTCAATAATTCAAAAAACCAATAAAATTCTTTGATGTTATTCCATTTTGAGGACTTTCACTCAAGAGTACAGATAAGCTCAATTTTAAGAATAAGTGAATACTTAAGCAAACACGTAAGTGACGACTATGAATTGAAAATGCGAGTAAGTAAACATTGAAGAGCTCCTTAAAAATAAGTCTATTAAAATATGCATGTTTCTAAATGCAGTATAGTTTAATCTGTATTTTTTATTATGTGGATAAGGTTTCTACTTTTTAAATCTTTTTTCTTTCAATTTATGTGAGAGCTCTTGAGTAACCCAATCTTTACATTTTATTAATTCACACACATTTTGAGTCCTATTCCCGTTATTTCTAGAAAGTATTTCTCTCTATTATTGGTATATATTAAAAAGTTTGATATTATCCATGAAAATGTTTACATCCTTGCCCTCACTCTGTTCCCATTTATTTTATTTTCCAATCCAATATTTCCAATATTTTTTGTCATTTTTTGGTATTCTTGAGTTATTACATTATTTTTACATACGACTTCATTTGTACTACGATAGCGCATAATAGGATACTGGTCTGATATTTTGTCATGTACAATTACAGCTGAGTTTTTTTTTAAATTCTGTTCTGGTAAGCATTCGGTTTATCAATGAGGAGGTAAGAACATTGTTTCTTATTTCGTCTCTTGTTGCAGATTCTAGTGCATTGACAAATCCATTTCTATTATATATCACGATTTCATAATCTTTCACAATGAGTTCATTGTCCTGTGGATTGATATTATTGTCTCCTATAATTACTGTCGTTGGTTCACATGTACTACTTATTTTCACTCTTCTACAAATTCTATACGATTAGTGTTAGGTGGCCTGTATATAGATATTTTTGTGGTGAACTCATTGGTTGGCCAATACATGTTTCCCATCATACATTGAAAAGTAGTTAGTTTAGGTTAGAAGTTAATGTTTTTACATTCAAACAGTGTTTCCTACAATATAATGCTCAGCCTCTCGCAATTTTATTTCATCGTAATATTCTTCTATTTGCTATAGTAGCTATTTTAAAATAGTAAATTTCTTTTGAATGAATATTAATTTCTGATAGGAATATCAGATGAAACTTACCTTTTTTAGAAAAAAATTGTATTTCATCCCACTGGTTTCTTAACGATCTAACATTTAAATTAATTATAGTTAGCCTTTTTGTTTTCTTTGTGGGACCAGTGAATTTGTCAATATTATCTGAAGTTGTAAAGTCAATTCGTAAGTCTTTTATTTTAAATTTACATCAGTCCATAGCCATTTCGTGATTAATAAAATTTACATATATTTAAAATATAACAAGGTTTTTTATAGATGTCACACACTCAGCTCCCTCATTATCTTCCTTTCGTACAAGAATTCTCTCCGTTCTTCACCCAGATGTAGGCGTTACGCATCTGTTCCCTTCTTTGGTTTCGTTAGGTAGTTTCGTAAACTCAGGTATTAGTGATTCATAAAGTTTTAAAATTGTTTCTCTTCTGTAGTTTTTAACTTCCACCATTACTTTTCTTTCTTGATGTACGTATTATATTCTTCACTACTAAATTTTAATAACTGTGGCTGAATATGAAAAACACTATGGATGCCGCTATGTGCGACAACGCCCACACCGAACTTATAAAAGGGATAAAGGACACTGCTATTGACATAACTAGATTGTGTAATATCGTATGGGAACAAGATTGGGCTCGTGAATGGAAACAATCCATCTTCACACTCCTGTTCAAAAAAAGAGACACCAGAATATACGCTAACAACAAGACCGTTGCTTTGGTACCACACACAAGAAAGGAAGGAAGGCAGGAAGAAAGGCAGGAAGAAAGGAAGGAAGGCAGGCAGGAAGACAGGCAGGCAGGAAGCAAGGCAGGCAGGAAGCAAGGCAGGCAGGAAGGAAGGCAGGCAGGCAGGCAGGCAGGCAGGCAGGCAGGCAGGCAGGAAAGCAGGAAGGAAAGCAGGAAGGAAGGCAGGCAGGAAGGAAGGCAGGAAGGAAGGCAGGCAGGAAGGAAGGCAGGCAGGCAGGAAGGCAGGCAGGCAGGCAGGCAGGAAGGCAGGCCGGCAAGCAGGAAGGTAGGTAGGTACTTCAAGGTCATTCAAGAGACTCTTAAAGTTACGTAGCTGGCGTAGGCTCATTAGAGGGTTTTTTAACACATCTTGAAGCACCTTAGCACATATGCTATTGACCATCTTTGCTGTTGAACCTCTGCGCATAAATATTATGTGTGAACTCCTACGTTTCGCTAATTGCGTACAGCGCTAGTCCACCATAATGAGCGAATGTAATCACATATCGGTTACTTAAACTTTGCACACTGAATCAGTCACGTCACTCTAAATCTGTAGCGACAGTGTCCTATATCTCTATTCCCATGAAGTAACAACATATTTGTGGCATTAATCTGTAGAGTATATAATTATAGTTTGCGCAGTGAATTGTGGTCTGCACAGTGAAGTCTGGTCAGTGCAATGGACTGTGGACAGTGTAGAAGTGAATAATATAAATAAATAATTAGAGGTGAACTGTGTAAATAAATAATCAGATTGTAGAGAACAGTGTAAATAAATAATCAGAAGAATTGAACTGTGTAAATAAATAATCAAGAGAGCAGAGTCATGTGTAAGGAAAATAATGAAGTGAAGAACACAAGGTCTATTTAACCCATCTGTAAATAAATCAAGTATTTGTAGTGTAGCATTGTTTACAAATAAACGTTAAATATTGTGTGTGTTTTAATTCACCACCACATGAAACGTTACAATATACATGTGTGTATATATGAAATGTTTATATAATGTAATATAAATTACATTTCTTTAATAACCTCATAATTATACTTTTACGATGCACGGTTGCATGCAACATTCAGCAAATGCCACTCAGCGGAGCGCCTCCAAAGGTCACCAAGGTGGATCCGACTCCAATTAACCAGTCTGCCTGGACGTCCCGGCCTCAAGGCCATGGGTTAAGGGGTACGCGTGGTTAGCACGAAGACATCCCTACGCTGTATTGTGGTCTTCTTAACCTGAGAAGTGAGTTTTCTCGGCGTCGCAACATATTGCAAGAAAAACGCACACTATAATCTTTCCCGACCGGGAATCGAACCCGCAGTCGCCTCGTGTAAAGTGAGCACACTGAACAATTTGCTAAACCGAGAGAACTCAATCAGACCCGAGTTAAATTAGGATTCAATCTATTAAAGAAATGTAGACTTAGTATCTATCCTTATTTTGTATCAGTTTCATAATTGATATAATCCCCACAGGGTGGTGTTCTATTTTGATTTTCTTCTGAATTTTGGATACAGGGTCGCGCAGGTGTGGTTTTCTGTCACTCCCTCGAAGGGTTGATTCGGCACAGTAATAAACACAATCTCTTGTTAACGGAGTCATCATTTACACAAAGGTAAGAAGCCATGCGTTGAATGACAAGAGTAAAAATTTAAATATTTACTAAGAAGTTCTATTTTTAAATGCAAAAGTATATAAAATATCGAGTGTATCAACTTGTAATAGAACGAACAATTGGGTAATTTGCTATACAGTCAAATTTGTTATGAAAGAGGCTGGCGAAAGTTCAAAAGATATGGACGTTTGACTATTGAGTCGGTATATTTAAAGTGAAATACTTTAGTAATATAACAAATAAGTTGTGTCTTCAAGTTCTTAAAATACTGACGAAACCTTGGGGAAGGTATTAGATAATTAATCGGTGGGTCAAGAATTCAGAACAAAATGTCCGCGAAAACGGGGCGGGGAACAGTTTGCCAATTGAATAGCCATCCAGACATTTCGAATATAGCAGTTTATGTTGGAACTTTAAGTGTTTTACTCGACAATTCTCAAGAGTGATGAGAACAGACAGCAACATTGGGTACGCGGAAAGCAGCTGCAGCTGAAATTAGGTTGGAAATACCCATGATCGCGGCGCCCACGGGAGTATAAACTGTTGCGGGACATAATTTACTAGATACGTAACAATCATAAAAACATATGTACAAAGTAATAAGATAGCAATGAATAATTAGTCTTAAGAGAACATAGTTCGTAAAGTGACAAACATTTTCTCATTGTATATAAGTTGTAATTAAATTCAAAACAAACAAATACAAGCCAAATATATTTTATTCAAAACTCATTTGTAAAGATTGTTACATATACAGCTAATCGCGAAAATCTTCACTGAGCAATTGAGTCACAATATTAAATTCCAAAGAACAGATTCATTTGCCGAAAAATGCCAATAATCCGTTCATGATGTAGGCATTTATCCAAAGGTATAAGAATACCACTCACATAAAATAACAGTGATATTACCAATACTGACCTATTTGTAGGCAATTATCCTGTTTTCTTTCCATTACAATGTCGTAACATTTACAGAGTGCAAATTTGCTGTATTCTATTGAATGTCTCGTATAGGTGTCCATATAACTCTACACAATTATTTTCAAAGCCTCGTTGATACATTGCTCTGTGATTTGTAGGCAGCCAGTCAACAATGGAGAGGACTTAAAATAAATTTTTCTTCACGAGTCCAAACCGGAGGGTTACGTCACATAGCCCAACCAGCCTGACGTGATTCGGCGTGACGGGAATGTCTGTTTTCGGTGACGAAGAGGTCGTAGAACGTTAATGCTTGTTGTGAAGGAAACGTAGTTCAAGGGTCTGGAGAGCGGGCAAGTCTGTGTCTCGCAAGCAAAGGAGAAGTCAATGCTCGGTGGCCGTGAGTCTGTCCTGAGTTGCTTGTTGGGCAGAAGGCGCCCGGTAGCTAGGAGAGGAGCGGCTCGTAGAGCACCGCGTCGACGCGCGCGTCCCTGCGCGTGGTGGGCAGGTCGGGCAGCAGCTGCTGCCGGAAGGCCAGCGCCAGCGTGGCCGGGGGCGGCCGCAGCTCGCTCCGGCAGCGCGCGAGGAAGCGGTCGTAGTAGCCCTTGCCGCGCCCCAGCCGCCGCCCGTCCGCCGTGAACGCCTGCCCGGGCATCAGCACCACGTCCAGCCGCCCGGCGTCGAACACGCTGCGCACCGAGGGCGCGTCGTCCGCGTGCTGGCGGATGCCCCAGCGGTTCATCGGCAGCGCCGCCAGCTCCGCCTCCGACGACACCTGCACCATCTCCATCTCCGGATGGCCCGCGCGGAACCTGCGCACAGTACACAGGCCCCCTTTACTTAGCATTATTACGAGTACATACAATTTGCAAAGTCGTTGGTTGGGTCCTTGTTAATGACTCTGGAATCAACTAATAGGGTCGTTAGTCCCGTAATTGCAGTGCGTGGTTTATCGCGGGAGGTAGCGGTGGTCGTTCCCCGCTGGATGGTCAGATCCGGCGCCGACCTACCGTCGGCTAATGGGGTGTTCCCCAACTAGGTATCTCCCACCAGCGAGGCATCGCCCCTGGTGGGTCAAACTCTAAGCTCCCGCCCGGTCTCCATGTGTGGTGTTGTAGTGCATGTTACTGTGTAAGGGGTGAGGATAGGAGAAGGAAGGGGAAGGAAATATTGCGCGCGGTCCATGGCCCATTTGTTATGGAACTGCTAAGGCATTCGCTTGGAGTTGATCGGAGACACCATGGAAAGCTACCAATCAGAGCGGCCGGCCGCTCGAATTCTCCTCCACACAGCGACTGAATTCGACCTGTCAAGCTAGGGTCGAAATCTTGCCACTGTCAGGACTCGAACCTAGGACCTCCCGGTCAGAGGATCTGCAGTAACATCCGTTGAAGCATTGAGATACTTCTCCCTGTTTACAAAGTCGTAGTCTGGCAGACTACTTTGATAAAAATAAAGAAAACCTCATTTTAACAATCGAACACTAAATTTAACAAACTGAAAATGATAAGGAGTAATAAAACACAATTTGAAAGTTTTTATAGATACACTTTAATGACTTGACTCTCACAGAAGACACTTGCTTAGTGGGGTGAACAAATGGTTTTCGGGTAGCGTCGCCAGAAGTACCTCATAATGTTTGTTGTGAATGCCATCATCCCCTTATGATTCCTAAATGCTCAGAACAAAACATAAATGCAACAAGACAAGAGTTGTGTATTAATTATTTACAATATTAGCCAATAAAACACCACAAAAATGGGCACGCGCAAAAGGTTAATGTCGGGGAGAACCCGCAGCCGATTATGCACTGAACTCTAGCTAGCTGAGGACGAATGGCATTTCTCCCCCTCCCACTGCTTGAAGGCTAGACTTGATCTGGTTCGTCGTGTCTGCGAACGTGATTATTCTTAAGCCAGTGCTACCACAATGCAAAAGCATTTGAAATGGAAGGTTTTATTATTATTAACGTGCCTTTTGTCCAGATGTTTATAACTTATAAAATTATTATGGGACATGTATTTCTCTCTCAATATAATGAGTGTGAACCAGAATGTTCAGTAGAGATTTTATTATTTTTTCTGAGGAAGGAAGTTCTGACTCACATGTCATCAGATACCTAGAATCCTCGAATTTGTGAATAACACAGCGTTTTCTTCTTAGTGAATCAATGTGCGTGTCAGGACAACGCGTTGCACAGTGGTCATCCATTGTAGTGTTTGCGACGTGTCGTGTTTACTCATTTCGTGAGCATTTGTAGTGTGACGTAGTGAAATGAGAAATAAATTCAAATAACAAAATAAAAATAGTATATTAAAAGAAGATTAATGAACAAAGTTACAATAAATTGCTAATATTAAACACTCCGGCAACCTTTCCTTCCAGTACCCTGCTTACCGCAGAAAAAAATAAAAGCCACGCGTGATGCGAGCTGTCGGACTTCGTCCGTGACAATTACGTCACATGGCCTGACGCCAAAAAATTTAAAACCGGTCGTGGGCGATCGCGTGCCTACAGCACCGAGATCGTCTGGCCCTTTTACTCTCCGACATTTCGCCAACACTCTACACTCCTTGTAACCTTACACGTACACGTCCCCGATGCAAAACTGAATTGAGAAGCGGGCGCAGATGCGCCGCGTTAAATAGTTGAGGCTGACCTCTCCCACCACCGTTCCAATAAGATAGGCTCGCTTGCTGTGGCAAGCGAGGCTCGCTCGGCCCAGCATCTTGGGTTTTACGCCCCCACACACAAAATTCTCAGGTTGGGCTCGCCTGCTGTCGGTAAGCGAGGCCTCGCTGGCTACAGCATGCCTCCGAGTTTTACAGCCTAGCGGTTATTTTTTGGCTGCTGCAGCTCTACTTGAGTCAACCGCCAGAGCGCAACTCCGGAAGTTCGAGGCTTAAACCCCTTCCTCACCGCAGCGGCACTTCACCGAACTAACGGTTCTGGCCGCTCGTGTTAACGACGCCAGACAGTAGTAACTTTTTCAGTGAGTAAAATGTCGAACGAGTATCAGGAATAATCTGTGTATTATGTCTTCCAGAGAGGGTACAAATTGATGATATCTTCAGGAGACCATTTTTCAACGAGAGTGTTTCACGAAGAAGGTTAGACAATTGAAAATGGTAAAGGGCCAATACAGCATTGGGCAACATATACAGCATTATAACAAAAAAATGGGACAGGGGGGAGGGAAGCTGGTTGGTCACCAGCAAGCTGGGGTGTGCAAAAGTAATCACCGCAATGCCCTGCTTACAAGAGGAGCGATATGTCACTTTTAATGCCCGAGTACTCGAATATATTTTTCTTGACGCCAAGAGTTTTATAATTGGTAGCAAAACTATCTTTTATAATCCCCCTCTATCTTATATATGCATATACATATGCTGGATATGTATAAACGATTACTTTTCAGTTTCATTCAGAATTTTTCACGCACTGGATTTTAACACACGTATACACAGTGCATGCAGCTTGAAAATAGTGGATTAAATAAAGTCGAATTTAAAAGTGACTCATTCTGCTTTACGACTTACTACAACTGTAGAGGACGGGACTGCTGGCTCAACACCTACGACCCCCGGCAGAGGCGCTTGCCGAGGCCAGACGAAAATTCTGCCTCCGAGCACACAAATGCGCTGCTCGGCTTGGCGGTGCTCATGATGCTCATATCAGATTTTCGGTCGCGGCACTGCTGAGACAATTTAGGCCCCGTTGGTGCATACGCCGCCTAGGAAACCGGGAACCGGCTCTAACTCCCGACATACTCGTAGCTTTCCTCAGTCTCACGGGGGTACTCAAGTTCCACTGCCAACACAAGGTCTGGTACTCCCCAGAGTGGAGTTGTTGTTATTATTCCTTCTAATTCAAACACCTAAAGGTATTTGAGACGATTGAATACAAAGTCGACTCCGGGTTGCAAACCAGGCTCTTAAGGTGAGTTCTAAAGAGTATCGAATGGCTTCACAATATTTTCCAAAAAATGATGGCTGTTACCACCAAAGTCACGAATGCACTACGATGGCACAGATGTGAAAAATATATTTGTCTAAAAGGGTTATTGGCTAAATTTTGTGAATCACTATTTTTCACGATCCTAAAACGCGTACTCGAATTCAATAAAAGACTGATATTGAACGTCAATTGCCTCGGCGTGGTTTTAAAAGATCAATTTAAAATCTTTCTTTATATATGTGGAATAGATGTGGCAATAGATTGAAGGTACTGGAATAATATTTAAAATTCCTCCAAAAGAACATACTTAGTACAAAGTATTTATATTATTATTTTAATGTTTAGTTGAAAGTAAGTTTGGGTGGGGAGGGCGAGAAACCTCAATATTACACAATATTTTACATAGGTCCGCCCTTTTTTAAATAGATGTGAGTAAGAGGATATTCCAAATGGGAGCGAGAAGAGAAGAGCGGATGCAGGGGGAGCGGGGATTACAATAGAAAAGAAATCGGCCGCACTGCTGCGGAAATAAATGGAATTCCTCTTAGTGTCTACAAAATTTGATAGTTTGATAATTACCCGGTACAACGCTGGCACTTCAGCTAGTTTGAGATAAAATTGAAAGCCTTTTGTCGAGCCGGAAGGCACCGAGAACTTGGCTGGTGTTGCGTTGAGCGACTGACTATGTTCCGTCCGGCTTATTTAGACACACATGACAGCTTTAGAAAGTCATGCCGCTATTTCCCTTTGATTGAGATGCTACTGGTGGCGTCGTCAAACACGAGGACAGAACCATTAGGTCGGTGATGTTGCAGGGGAGGAAAGGGTTGAGCCTGAGCTTGCCTGGTTTTGCGTCTGGCAGTTGACGGCAGACAGCGGTGGCAGAGCCAAAAATAACCCTTAGGCTGTAAACTCCTAGGAATCTGAGCTAGCGAGCCCTCGCTTGCCGACAGCAGTCGAGCCTACCTAGGAAACTTGGGTGGTGAGGGTGCAGGCCCCAACTATTTAACGCGGCGCCATCTGCTCCCGCGTTCTCATTTCAGTTTGCATCGGAGAGCGGAAGACTAGTAGGTAGGGATATGTCCGGAGCGTAAGGGCCAGGCGATCTCGGTGTTGTAGGCATGCGGTCCGGCGGAGGCGACCAAGTTTAATTTTGGCGTCAGGCCATGTGCGGTAATAGTACGGGACCGAAGTCCAACAGCACGAATCACGCGTGGCTTTTTTTTGCGGTTACAAAGCAGGTCTGGGAAAGAAAAGGTTGCCGGAGGGCTTAAATTTTAAGCAAATTATTGTAACTTGTTTGTAACTTTTCATATACTCTTATAACTATTGTTATGAATTTATTCTTATTTCACTAGCGTCACAATTACTTCTACTTCTCGTGCTATTTATTTACGTACCGACCGTAGATGCCCTTAACCAGTTGCCCTGGTTAGAGCCTGGCAACAAAGCAGACGTTTGTTTCTCATGCCGACCCTCCGGCAGGAATGCTTAGTTCGAGAAGGGATCGAACGGAACCGTTGCGGCCTAACCAGTAGCGGATCCAGGTCCAGGCCCCACACCCCAAAGGTCAGTTTTCGTTTCTCTGTTTCATTTGGCAACATATATTTAAATATTTTTAATTATGTTACATTACATAATGTTTTAAAAAATAGTAGTTTCATATTATATAGTACACTTACAAAAATAATATACACGATAGTAACACAATGGTTATTTTTTTCAACAACCGGTCTACGGCAGCACTGCAAAACGATCGGCTGGATGCGCCTTGGGCCCTATACGTCGGACTACGAATGTCTTGCATTGGCTGGGCGAGCCATCGCAGTTAGTGCCGAAATTTCTCAGTCACCGACTCGAAATTCTATCATCCCATTAAAATAAGTTGGGATTGACTAGAAACTGTTGCTTCATAATACATGATTATGTTGATTTGGTGACTTTATCACTTAGGAGCGCATTTCTCGTGACCTAAAAAACATTGCACAAAAATGATCAAAAAATGTTTAAAAATGCCCTATAACAAACGAAAATGGACGTAAAAAATTGGATTCAAAACCACTGTCAGATGAACAACTTAAGACATATGTTACTAATGGAACATTCGGGCTTCTTCTTTTGTTCAACTGAACTCAGCTTGGAATACTTTAGGATTGGAGTGTTCTTAAAAAAAAAACTGGCCTTTATCTTTATTACGAAATCGGCTGATCTGAACAATGGCGCTGGAGGAACGTCAACAGGAACTTTAGATTAGCATAGTACTCACAATGGCTGGCATTACAAATATGAGCGAAGAATCCAATAGACTACCTGAGAATTCTGCGTTGAACATTTGTTCAGGATAAAAAGGAAAGGCAATGTTCTAAAGTGAAAAAGGAAAAAACCGACATTTTCTCATTAATGCTCCTGTATTGTTGCAAGAAACGTGCTCCAAGGGTACGTCAGCCTGCTTTGCCAGGGGCGCTCACACCGAGGATGTAGCAGGCGCGGCCGCTGCGCTAGAATGTCCGCACAGGTCCGTCGGTGCGCACCGTCCTCTCGAAGGCTTCAGGTAACCGGCCACGGAGCGGCGCGCCTCGTACTCCCGGCCCGCCCCCAGCACCATTGGCACAGCAACGCACGTTTCATTACGGAACAAAATTTCCATCTTAATATTTTCACCTGTAGGGAAACGCCGAAAAAAAATTTAAACTTTTGAAAT